GGGAGGGTTAGAGTAAGAGCGCTGGGCGGGGTTTCAAAGGCGGCGAATGGAATGGCGCCTGGCAGGAGTCCGCGTGGTGTAGTGGTTCGAGCGTTGGACTACGATCCTGAAGACCAGGGTTCGAATCCCGGCTCGGCTCTCTCAGCCACATTTGTTGTTTTGTTCCTTCAAGTCTTTCCCTACTTAAGGCTATCCTATCATGGGGAATTCTTGGCAGGATTGGTTCAGAGGAGATTTGCCGTTCTTTTCCCCTGAGGAGGCTGAGAGCATGTGACCTCCCCAAGGTCGCCCAGAGGGTTTCATGGCCGAGCTTGGAATCAAACCCTGGTCTCCAAAGTCCACAATATGGCTCTCGGTACATAATAATGTACAGAGATCTTGTAGCACCTTTGAGACTTCTTTCTTTCAGTTAGGGGGGTTGCAGACTGCCAGAAATAGTGCAAATTGAGCCCACTTTTAGGGTTAGGGTTAGGGAATCATGGGAACTGTATTTTATTGTGGCACCAGAGTTCTCTTGGCAGAGAAAGCTCAATGTCTCAGAAAAAAAAACAACAACAATTCCTACGATTCCCTAGCACTAACCCTAACCCTAAAAGTGGACTCAAATTGCACTATTTCTGGCAGTCTGCAACCCCTCTTAGTCTCAAAGGTGCTACAAGATCTCTGCATATTTATTCTACAGACTAATACGGCTATATATCTTTGAATTGTACAGCACATAAGGATAGGCATAATAATGGTAATAGTGTGTGTTTTTGTTGTGTGCCTTCAGGTTGTTTCTATCTTATGTAACTTAAGGCTATCATGAAAACATAGCAAGGATTAGCCTTGTTAGCCGTGTGGCCTACTACAATAACATCCAAAATCCACCAAACAGGGATACTTTTGTTGGGCCAACCGAAATGAACAAAGTACCTTATGCAAGCTTTTGAAGCTCCACTGGCTTCTCCATCAGATAAAAGGTGTTTAAAATCATACAGGAGGAACAAAAATTATATTAGAGGCCTGCATTTTGGAGATGCTGCTGCTCTTAGTTCAAGGGTTGTTGGAGGGATGTTGTAGGCCAGCTCCTCCTCCTCCTCCTGGTCATATGAGTACAGTACTTTAGGAGGAAAACTTTAAATTCCATTAGCAAGACAAAGGGAGATGCTGCTCTTGAGATCCAAGTTGCCTCAGTCCTTGGCCTGAGAGGATAGCAATGGCAAACCCTCTCTGAAGAAACTTGCCAGGAGAATCCCATGTTTGTTTCACCTTAGGGTTGTCATAAATCAGAAACAACTTCAAGACATATAACAATTTGGCTGCCTCCTTGCCATATAAGGATGATAGGATTGGACTCCCTATTGTGCCATGTGCAAACCAAGCATTAACTTCTGACATGGAGGACTTGCATGCATTCATCCTAGACAATGAGGGAATCAAAATAGTTAACAACTTCCCATATTTAAGATCAAACATTGATCAGAATGGAGACTGCAGTCAAAAAGTCTGAAGAAGCCTAGGAATGGCAAGGGCAGCCATGAAAGAGCTAGAAAAGATCCCAAAGAGTAAAGATACACAACTGAGCACTAAAGGTATCCTCCAAGCCATTACATTCCCCATCACCATGTGTGGATGTGAGGGTTGGATAGTTAAGAAAGCGGATAAGAAGAAAATCAACTCATTTGAAATGTGCTGGAGAAGAGTGCTGAGGATCAAACACATGGGTCCTTGAACAGATCAAGCTTGAACTCTACCTGGAAGCCAAGATGATCAAACTGAGGCTGCCATAATTTGGATTTTTTTTTAACCTGTCCTTGAACAATCCTCACTTTAGTGCCCAGAGTTATATCTCTATACTTTAGGATCTTGTCAAGTTCTTTCATAACTACCCTTTCCAATCCCAGTCTTCTTTAATTTCTTGACTGCAGTATTTGATCCAAGGTGTGGGAACTCTTTGACATCTAATTTCCTACCTCTGAATATAACCTACAGTGGACCCTTGGTATCTGCTGGAGTTTGGTTCCATGACTCCCATGGATACCAAAATCCTGGATGTTTAAGTCTCATTATATATAGTGAGTTAGTAAAATGGTGTTCCTTATACAAACTGGCAAAATCAAGGTTTGCTTTTTGGATTTTTAAAAACATTTTCAAGCAATGGATGGTTGAATCTGTGGGTGCAAAATCTGTGGATACAGAGGGCCAACTGTATCCTGACAGTCTCTCATTTAAGTACTAACCAGGGCTGGCCCTGCTTGGCTTCCAAGAACAGGTGGTATTTGGTGCCTTTAGGATATTTAGGCCCATAATTATTGATTCTTAAAGACCTCTGAAGACGGGCAAGAATACAACTAAGGATGTTTGGGTTCAACAGTTCAACAACCATCACTTGGTGATCCTTGGCTAGTTGTGTGTCCCTTCAGGTTAATCCAGGGGTAGGCAACCTTTCCCCTTTAAGGGCCGAAGGACTTCAGCTCCCAGAATCCCAGGAGCTATTGGCCAACGTGGGACTATTGGCCAACATGGCTGAGGCTTCTGGGAGCTGAAGTCCCTCGGCTCTTAAAGGGGAAAGGTTGCCTACCCCTGGGTTAATCTTTCTGGCTAGTAAGGCTGCAGTAAGGAGTGAGATAAAACTACCGGTACATTGAACTGTGAAAGTATCACCTGACTTTTTCTATTCTGCAAATAAAGTAAAGAGATGTTGTCTGTCTTTGCGTGTAGCTGGCTGTATGTTTTCTCATTGAGATGTCTTTGTTTTCTACAAATTGGACTGCCCACCCTGCACTTGGAAGAACCACTAGTATGACACACCAGTGGAATATTGGTGGCTTACCAGTAGTTAAAATAAGAAACAGTTATCTTATTTCAGAATGTTGCAGGCTTAGTTAACCCATCATTGTCCAGTAACCTTTAGTCTTTGGCCATCTTTCCCTGAACAGATCTACCATTGCAATAGTTATCAAAAAAGTAGGTGTATTAGCCTTGCAGCATGGAAGGGAAGTGGAAGAAGAACAAAAAGGAATGTGGCAGAAGCTTTAAAACTTGATGGTTTTTATTTTAGCATGAGCTTTCCTGGATATAAACCCACAGAACCTCATGCTAAAATAAAAACCAGTTTATCTTAAAGGTGAATTTCTTTTTTCCTTCTTTTCATATTGTACCATTGTCATTTTAATTACAGTACCGGATGCTTATTGTAGGCTGGATGAGTAATACAGAAGGATCCAAGTAGATTTGGACCTGTGTCTGTTTATACTGTCTAAATCTGCTGGAAACTGGAAATCTCTGATTTCATATCTGTGAACTTGATGGTCGTCTAAGGCAACATTTTAGGCTTTTATCTGGTGTGTGGAAATAAGACTGACCTACCTTTTATAGTTGCCAGAAATTGTATAAGTATGCAGGTAGAGCATCATGAGGACAAGCGAAATACTTCTTAGCGATATTTCAATTGTCTTGGAGTTTTATGTGTCCACAGTGTTTCAAACGATTTTAGCAGTCGTGAGGTGTGTTTGGCCATTTTTTTTTTATTTCTCTCAGTGGCTTCTTGTTTCAGGAATATTAAAAGCTGACAGCTATTCTTATCTATTGTTACAAAATGTATGTTGCTCCAAAAGAAGTGTGTTCAAGTAAGGCAGTTCTCTTTGCCCAGATTAAATCCTTAATGCTTGAGAGAATATGAGCTGAACTGTCTTAAATAAGAATAGCCTGCAGTTGCTTGATAAGTAACAGTTCAATCATGTTCACTTCTAAAAAAGTCCCACTGAAATCAACTGATCTAATATATGTGTTTGATGTTATGTAGCTCAGAGTGTAATATCAGCATTGTCCTGTATGCATATATTTTAAATTGTATAAATTTGCAAACTTTATCATAATATGAGAACTGACAAAAAACTTGGGAGCTAGAAAAATATCCCTTAGTTTAGCAATAACACAAAATATGTCTTTATTGTAAACTTGTTTATCTTCTTGCTCATATTAAGAAACATTTTGTTAGCATTGGGTTTATATTATTTTGAGTCTGATAGTGCCCCTCCCCCAATTTAGGAACTTGATAATCATCGTCAGACATGAATTCAGTGATACTCATGTAAACATTGCTGAAAATAAATATGTCTACACTACAATTGGGAGCATGTTAAAGAAAGCAAAGCAGTATCTTGATATTAATGCTTGTGTGTGTGTGTCTACCTTCAAGCTGCCTGTCAAGCTGTGGTGACCACATGAATTTCATAGGGTTTTCTTAGGGAAGGAATACTCAAAGGTGGTTTTCTGCTTTAAAAAAAAAAAATTGTAATTTTTTTCTTTTTTACTGTTTGTGGCTGGAATCACAAATATGACAAGTTCTCCTTGTTGTGTTTTTGTGGAACATTGTGAATAGGGGCATTCCAGCTTAATGTTTTTGAGTTGTTGTAATTGCCTTATGAGTACAGGAAAAGTCAATCTCTGCACTTAATAAGTAATGCTTTAAAAGGTGTAATTCAATTAGGTATTTGTTTTTCTTCTGCAGCAAAATGTTCATTGGAGGCCTGAGCTGGGATACAAGCAAAAAAGATTTGACAGAATATTTGTCTCGTTTTGGAGAGGTGGTGGATTGCACAATTAAAACTGATCCTGTCACAGGGAGATCAAGAGGTTTTGGGTTTGTGCTTTTCAAAGATGCTGCTAGTGTTGAAAAGGTATGTATCCATAGTCGTAAAGAATAGCTCCAAAATTTTATGTGGATTTCTTTTCCTTTGGTGCTAAATTTGCATTCAATGTCTTCTTAGGTCTTGGAATTGAAAGAACACAAATTGGATGGCAAACTAATAGATCCCAAAAGGGCGAAAGCTCTGAAGGGAAAGGAACCACCCAAAAAAGTGTTTGTAGGTGGATTGAGTCCAGACACATCTGAAGAGCAAATAAAAGAATATTTTGGTGGTTTTGGAGAGGTATAATTATTTGTTGAATAGTTTCCTTGGTGTAGCATCATTTGTAGGGTTTACAGTTGAGAGTAGGGCTTGCTCACTTAAAACTGATATGGCTGCTTGGAATTAATCTTACTGGCCTTGACTGTTTTCCCAATGCAGAAGATTTGTGTGTTTTCTAAAACAGAGAATAAGGAATTGTGGTAGAAAAGAGATAAAAGAATGATACGCTTAAATGGGAGCAATG